CTTATGTTCCACCAGTTCCTTTTCCACAGAGACTCCATATGACCAAGCAAGATAGGTTGTTTGAGAAATTTCTGAAGATTTTTAGGCAATTGCATATTAACATTCCTTTTGCAGATGCTTTAGCTCAAATTCCCGCTTATGGGAAGTTCTTGAAGGAGATCATCTCCAACCGAAGGAAAGTGGAAGACTTTGAGATAATTGCGTTATCTGAGGAGTGTAGTGCTGTTATTCAGAGAAAGTTGCCTCCAAAATTGAGTGATCCAGGGAGTTTCTCTATTCCTATCTCTATGAGTGATGTTTGTTTTGATAAAACTTTATGTTATTTAGGTTCTAGTGTTTCATTGATGCCTTTATCTGTTTGTAGAAAGCTTGGGTTGAAACATTTGAAACCAACTAAAATCACTTTGCAGTTAGCTGATAGATCCATAACTCATCCGAAAGGGATTTTGGAAAATGTGCTGGTAAAAGTGAAGAAATTTTATATCCCTGTTGATTTTGTTGTGTTAGATATGGAAGAAGATGCTAATGTGCCAATTATTTTAAGTCGACCATTTCTAGCCACAGCTGGTGCTGTTATAGATGTTAAACAAGGGAGTTTAAAATTTCATATTGGAGAAGAATCTGTGGAGTTCACTTTTTCTGAAAATTATAAATGCCCTGCATTTACTCATCATGTGTTTAGGGTAGATATCCTTGAGGAGCTAGATAAAACTGATGTTTTCATTGCTAATTGTTTTCATTGCTAAAACTGATGTTTTCATTGCTAATTTTAAAGATCCTCCTGACATATATATCAGTGATATAGGCACAGATAGAAATGGAAGAAGAATGATGAATCAAAGAGTTTCACACTCTTTGATTGAGCGTCCACCTGATTGATTAGCCAAATAGTCTGGCTCATGAATTTAAAGAAGCAATTATTGAGAGGCAACCCAATTCTTTATTTTGCTTTATTTTTCTTTTTCTTGCATTAATAAGTTGATGGTTAAGTTTTTTGTTCCTGATTCTCTAAAGATCTGTGATTTCTAGATTTTCGTGGTTTTTCTTAATCATTTGTTTTTTTAAGGTTTGTTTTTCTAATTTACTTTAGTTTGCAATTAGGTTTGTTGGAAGGGCGGAACTCTGGTGTCCAGTGGTGCTGAAAATGAAACATCCAAAATTCTAAAGAAGTTGGTCGTGTGTTTGGATAGCAGTTGCAACAGTTTATTCAGCAATTCCGGTCCTCTATTTTGCATTCCTAAGGTTGTATCGTTTCTTTTCATTCTTTTTGTTTATGTCTTTTCTTTTCTTTTCACTTGGTTGTCTTGTCTTTTGTGTTTTATACATTGAGGGCAATGTACGTTTTAAGTGTGGGGGAGAGGAATATTTATGTTTTGTGTTTATCTTTCTTAAATAAAAAACCCATAAAAATTAAAAAAAATTGAAAAATCCAAAAAGGCCTATAATAAAGTTCGTTTAATTATCTATAACATGTAAGAATTAGACTATTTTGAATTGTATTATTTAACTTATGTAATTCTATATGTTGCTTTGAATACCCTGCTTTTTATGCACCTAGTCGTGACTATGGGATAAGCCTAAAGTGAGACATAGTTGCATGAGTTTGATGTAGATATGCCATGAAACGTTGTGTTTGATTCACTCATACTTATATGATTTGTATGTGGAACCCATCATATTGTGAAGGAAAAGCAAGGCATTAACCCAATATCTGCCTTAAAAAACCTTATTACTTTGACACTTTGTGTTAAGTAAGTTTGGGGGAGGGGTGTTGGCGGATCCTTCTGAGGTTAGGTTAAATTTAGTGAGGGAGAAAAGGAAGAGCATTCAATGTTGATGCTTGCGCATTGAGAGCTGAGGAATTGGCAACCTGAGCGGAGAGTCCTCAAGCCCGGTGAAGAAAAATAGATATGTAGACTGCCCTAAGTTGCTGAGCCACGGTGTATAGGAGTGGAAAAATGCTCTGGGTAGTGGCCTGAGTTGGAAAGAGTCCTGAAGAAAAGCTGCATGGACCGCAGAATGGGTTACGGGGGGGAATAGGTTGTCTGTGAAATAAGTCCTTCTACTTCATAGTATGTTTGGTGGTCCAGTGCATTGAAATATGGTATGAAATGTGAGTCTGTTGTTAAAGTAAAATGGCATATTTGCAGTAGAGCTTTTGTTTTCTAGGTTAAATGTAAAGTGATGTCCCTAAGAAACGAATCGCACACACACAAGCGTGGGGGCTAAAAGTACATATGGTTTGCATTTTGTTAGCTAGAACATATTAGAGGAAGTCGAGGTCTTTGTATAATATGATGTTAAATCCCTGAGGCCGCCAAAATTAAATAACTAAATGTTTTTTATTTGTTTTAATCTTTGGAAATGCTTGAGGACAAGCAATAATTCAAGTTTGGGGGTATTTGATATGCTTACATTTTACCTATTTATTATATCCCTAATTTGTAATTTTTTGCAATATATTTTGAGTACAAATGTGCTATTTATGTGATGTTATCTTTAATTGTTGGAATTGTACTCAAAAGGAGGAATTGTTGAAATTGTGGGCTAAAATGAAGATAAAAGCAACTCAAAGGAGAGAATTGAAGATTTGATTAATTGACAAGGAAGAAATTAGAAGACTTGAAGAATTAGAGGACTAAATTGTAATTTTTATTTTTTATTTAGGGTTTGGCCGAAACAAGGACTTGCAGCTGATTGGAGTTGGAATTGGGTAAGAATTTTAATCCCAATATTATTTGGGAAACAAGTTTTCTTCCTTTCCAAAAAGTAGGGTTTGACGGAAGCCTATAAAAGAAGGTTTAGGGTTTTATTTTTACAACCGAACTTGACCGAAAAAAAACCCTACGTCCTCCGCCGATCTACCTCCTTGCTGCTACGTCCTCCGCCGGTCACCACCTTGTTCTCCTCCATTCCCACGCAGCGTCATCATCACCACCTTGCTTCCTTGATCACCTCCACCTTGCTTCCATCACCGAACCTCCATCAACACCATCTTTCCTCCTTCCCACCACTTCAAACTGGCAGCATCAACCACCTCAAACCTGGCAGCTTTCTCCATCACCACCACGCGCAGCAGCAGCATCAACAAACCATCATCTCCTTCGCCATCACCTCTCCATTACCTCGCGTATCAACTCAAAACCAAACCGGCAGCAGCGTCCTTGAGCTTCTTGCAGCCGAGAGAAATAGAAGTGTCCAAATCTGAAGCAAGCAGCAGCTGCAAGTGCAAAGCGGCCGAGGAGAAAGTTGGAAGCTAGCACAACCGGGGAGCTCTTTGTTTTTCTGGTCTTCATCTGGGTGTTTTTGTTTTAATTATTTAATTTAGATTTTTGGATTATGTCTCTAAATATTATTGAATTATTTTTTTTAATGTTTAGTGGCTAAATTCTATAACCTAGGGCTTAGATGTAGCCTCCGATACTTGGTTTATTTTGATCCATTATATTTTGGCTTTTTCGTTGATCGATATTTAATATTCTTGAATTAATTCGTGTAAGTAGCTGTCCATTGTTTGTATGTTTAGAGGTGTTTAACTGAAGAAACGATAGTTGAAGGTTAACACTAGTCCATAGGAATATTAAAATTAGGGAGTGAGCCACGACGGTAGGAGCATTGACTTTGCAACTTATAATTCTTGAGATCTTAATGTGCTTTAGTTATATCCTATAGTCACGACAGTAAACATAGGATTAATTAGGGTAAGATAATTTTATCACAATGGTGAATAGTTCTTAAATATGTGAATTGTTGTGAGATTAATGGAAGATAAAAGTCTAATACTTATGAATTGAACCAAACTAAATATTAGGTAGGTGAACCCAATGTCCTAGGTTTTCTTTGTCTGATTATTTGAATTAATATTATTTGCTTTTATTTTATTTATTTATTTTAGTTTTAAATTTTATAAATCTGAGATCATCATTTATCTAGATAATAATAGGAGGAATTTATACCTGGTAATTAGTATTCCTTCTCTGTGGGTACGACCCTATTTTCCGCTATACTAGTGTTTAGTAGGTAAATTTATTTGACTAGTTATGACGACGGCCTGTCAACAACCCTCCAACTGACACAGTACACACCTATATCAATCGGCGATGCTTTTGATCAATCAACACCACTAGTTTTCAATCACCAACACATTGAACAAGATAAAACTAGTCCACTAATTTACGGCATTTGTTCCAACAAATGGAGCCCCGAAAACTAAGCTCGAGAGAACTCTCAATATTTTATAAAATCAATCAACAACTGACGGCCAAAGTGCCTAAGTTCTGTTTTTAAAGACATCGGAAACAAAACCCTAATAATACTAAAGCCCAAAAATAACCCTAGAAAAATAAACCCTAATCTCAAAAATAATACAATTAAATAAACCCTAATTTCTTATGATCTAGCCGCCGTCACTTTGCCCTCGAGTTTACGCCGGAAAGCCGTTGCAAAACCTCCCCAGCTATTGTATAGAAAACTTGTTCCACGTTTTGATTTGTTTTCGCACTCGTCTCGAAAAATCTGATGCCGTATTCATCCACAAGAGCTTCACCGTCAGAAGTAGAGACAGACCTTTTGCTCACATCCATGTCCGCTTATTTCCTACCAAAACCTTATTGATCGCCTTGTCTGAAACATGATGTTCAATGTCGCGGATCCACTTGCGAATGTTGTTGAAAGATGACTTATTGGTAACATCGTAAACCAATAGGGTTCCCATGGCTCCACGATAAAAAGAATATGTGATCGCTCGGAACCTCTCGTGGCCGGCAGTATCCTATGTTTGGAGTTTGACTAGTTTCCCCTCAAGCTTGATGGTTTCGATCGTGAAATCGATTCCAATTGTTGTGATGAAACTGGTGCTGAAGGTGCCATCGGAGAAACATTCGAGGAGGCAAATTTTTTCTACAATCATTTTAACACAAATAAAGCTTCACATTTCCGCAACGAATTAGTTAACTAGGAATATCAACAACCACAACTACTTTGTGGAGTTTTTGGAACCTTCATCTTCCACCAGAAGTTGGTATTAATGGTAGCTCCGCGCTGAAATTTGGTGCAGACTGTTGACCGCTAGAGGTTGAATCATCACTGCTACCTTTTTCATCCAAGTTCAAACCAAGCAAAGGTTCACTCTGTAAGGAATCAATCTCGAAAACTTGAATTAACATTTGCTTTGATTTTGCTCCTAAAAGCCCGAGTTCCCTGTCTATGTCTTTCATGCATGGCCGATCCTCACCTCGCATGCTAATGCACCTTTTCGCTATCTTGGCAACTTCTTTCAGCTCGTCTAAATTTTCCGAGAATGATATGTTACTATCAAGAATTTGAGCCAAGTTATTTTCTTTGAGTAAAGCAAGGAATCGATTCAATAGAAATTTCTCTGCATCTGGCTTATCTGAGGCTAATACTTTTTTCCCAGTTATGAGCTCTATCAAGACGATCCCAAAGCTGTAAACATCACTCTTCTAATTTAATAAACCTGTCTGCATGTACTCAGGGTCTAAGTATCCAACTGTTCCTTGCACCATAGTGCTCACTTGATTATCATCCAATGAAACCAATCTTGATATCCCAAAGTCTGCAACTTTAGCAGTGAAATTCTTGTCGAGTAGAATGTTGGCCGACTTGATGTCTCTATGGATAATAGGAGGCGAAGCGACAGAATGCAAATATGAGAGGACTCCAGCGATTTCTGATGCTATTCGTAAGCGGATGTTCCAAGAGAGCTGTGAAACTTTGAATTTGTTGTGCAAGTGATCAAAAAGTGTTCCATTGTCGATGTATTCATACACAAGCAATGGAACATCTGTCTCCAAACAACAACCTAGTAGCTTTACGATATATCTACTGTTGATTTGCGAAAGTAACATCACCTCGTTGATGAATTGCTCAACTTGATTCTCATCAACAACTTTAGACCTTTTAATTGCCACTGCCGTTTCGTCGGTCAGCTCTCCTTTGAAAACTGTCCCAAATCCTCTGCGACCAGTGATTTGGCTTTCATCGAAATCATTTGTGGCCTTCTGTAATTCTTCATACGTGAAAATCTTAAAGCTATAACTGCATCCTCCTTTTCCTGTACTAAGTTTCTGTTGTAAAATCAATCCACCATTTTTCTTGAAAAACTCCTCTCGGGACCTCTTCTCCTTTCTTCTTATCCATTCAGAGTAGAAACAGAAGGAAAACACCAGAAGAGAAACTGCCCCTACACTTAGGCAAACACCTGTAGCCAAAAGCATTAACGAACTGATTAATGTTATAAGATGTACTTTTGCTAATTTCGTACCTTTTACCTTGTCTTGGCTACAAATAATAGTTCCCTGTCTCTAATTCCATGCAGAAAAAGTATTCTTGAACCATGTAGAAAACAAACTACAGGAAGTATTAATAATTGCTGTAAATGTATCTTAAATGAGATTAGTTCATTAATTCTTCACATTTTGGACCTTGTTTCAAATGCATGTTAACAAACTCTTAAGAAAACATAGCTAACTACATAAACGTATCAATCAATTCCGTAAGAGGGCATTGATTCCACTAACCTAAAATAATAGCCCAGTTGTCCTTTTCATTGTTTTCAACACATCTTCCGTCCCCATCATGATTGTACCCAGGGATGCAATTGCATTCATAACTCCCGACCTTGTTTCTGCAAGCACTCTTTTTTGGACAAATGTCAGGATTCTGGCATTCATCAATATCTGCGAAACACGAAATGATTACAACAGTGAAATCTTGATTACTGTCCGCTACCCGAAATGATTAACATTAACATTAGTTCAAATTTGTGCTTTATAATTAGGACCAGAAGGGGATCATTATTAGTTAAAACACAAAAACTAATGAAGGTGAAGCAAGTTTTGAGTTATTTACCTATGCAACCATTAGGAAGATAAGGGTTGCCCTCATATCCCTCATTACACCTACACCGATAACCCATAGCATCATTATGTTTATAACACTCGCTATTTTCCTTACACGCATAAGTGATGGGGTTTTTCGCAGCTTCTTGACAAGTCTCCTCAGCGATCACCCAGTCAATGATGACTGGAATTTCAACCCAGTCTAAACCGGTGAGATTATCAACAGAGAAATGAAAACCTTCGTTTTCAACCACAAAACCGTAACTGCAAGGACTGAAACTCCTCACCGAACTATGATTCCAAAAGCTACTCAAAGTGACATTGATCTCATAAGTTCCACTTGGGACTGATATCTAACAACACCCCACCCCAGAACAAGTACCATCCTGTACATCTGTCCTTTCTTCACATGTAGAAAAACATCCAGTTCCAAATTGTCTTGAATTAATTCTGCTTCCTGGTTGTGTACCGAACAAAAAAATGAGATTGATTAAACAACATCCTCCAATTAAGAATGAAGTACCGATCAAGTATCCGAAATATAAATCTATGTTTTATGTGAATCACTCCCTAGTTTGAAGGGAAAAAAAAGGATAAGATTCTAAATAAAGAACGAGGTATTCCCCATGTCCTAAAATAATTGTCCGAATTAAATTTTTATTTTTAGTACTTCCTCCGTCACAAAAAAAAATGTTTACATTGATAATTTGTACTAAAAATAGTACAAATCTTAAAAGTCAATATGTACTAATTTTTTTGAGACAGAGATGGCACAAATTTATACTAAAAATGAAAAAGTCAAATTGGATAATAATTTTTCGTTGAAAAGTGTAAGCCTCTAGATATAAAAATACCTTCAACAAAAGCGACGGAATCGCAGCCAATAACCGTTAACTTATTGGCGGAGCTGTTGACACTATAGGGCTCAGGTATCCTAAAAGATGTGGTAATGGGCTCTAGATTCCTAGCTTGTTCATCAAGGCAGTCTTTTCCAAAGGAGTTCGACGTCCGAAGCTGTCCGTCCAACCATATCTTCGTGATTGCTGCGTCTCTACCCAGAAAACTCAGCCGGGGAGGGTTAGCAGAGTTGCATTCCACCGAGAAATTTCGATTAAGATAACAATTTTCTCCAATACCAAACGGAAATGGTAGGTCTACATCGCCACATTTCTCCGGGCAGCCGGGCTTTGCTTTGAGAAAATTAGCTGAAGAACAAAAAGAAGAATTTAGAACAATGGAGCAAACCACTACCAACTTCAGTGGTAACACCAAGGATCCCATGAAGCCAAAGAACTTGTGTGTGTGTGTGTGTGTGTGTTTATTTTTTTATGCCTTTTCTTGGAGGGGAAAGTAAGTCAATTTAAAGCTTTCTCTTTGGCAATGTTAAGTTTCAAGTTGCAACGTAAGGTTTGTTTGTTCTGATGCATGATTTACGAACATTTTGCCATTTGGTATCCTCTAATGGTAAGGCCATTTGAGTCAGGCTTCACAATAATGTATATAACCTTTTGTTTGTTTTTATCTTTTGTATATAGCAACGAGGAAAATGTCTTTCCACGGGAAGTTGGGAACCAGTTACAATAATATAATACACTTACAGGGGAATATCCAATGGATCGTTTTTCTTCTTTTTTTTTAACCAGCTGAAAATTTTATACTCTAAAAATCACCCAAATCGCTAATTACACTCGTAGTATATCTAGTCAATGGGAAAGGGTCGCAAAAGTTGAGGTAGGTGACGGCAAAAAGTCTACAGGGAGATAATGGTCTAACTCAACTACGAATCCATGAAGAAAAATAACTTTCCTATAATAAACAATATTTGGTCCAATTAGACCACCACGTATTTATGACTAGAGTTTATATTCGAGAATGTATGTGTGACGGTAATTTAATAATTGAGTACTTCAACGAGTTTTGTATTTGTAGAACTTACCTTCGAATAAACTGGATTAGTTGTTGCACTGGTTTTGTCTTGTAATATTTCAAACTTATGGTTTTTTTATGATCATTTATAGTGCTTAATTAAAGCAGCATACAAGTTGATGATGTCTCAGCACCATAATAAAAATATTCCCGCTAAAAGTCATTTTCAGTACAAAATTATTTTTGATATGTGGCACTCTAACTATTCAGTAAAAAAGATAGAATATAAATAAATATCTTAATTATAACTCTATACTAATCCCTTAATTATAGCTATATACTAATCCCTTAAAACAAGAAACTTGAGTTGATAGAATCAAATGTAAAATAATCTCCTTAAATCACGTGAAACATTACTGCGAGTAACGTCTCCCCAATCTCCGTAAATACAAAATGGTTAAATGAAAATTGGCTCCAGCATACAATTGGCTCAATCAAATATATAATACCCCAATCAAGTATTTTTGCTCAATGTAATACAATTGGCTCAATGAAAATGAAGGTGATCCCCATAATATTTTTGGTCCAGTAGACAACTGGCTCAATCAAGAAGACATCAATCTTTAAATTTGACTTAAAACCTAACAACCGGAAAACCAAGAAAATTCCATCATGCTATAACTAGAGATCAATACCACGGGAGCAAAAGATGATTAGCTCTCCACTATGACAATCAGGATTTTGTGTCTAAGGATTTGATAATGTTAATATTAGCATGATATTTGTGGTGGTTTATGTGTTGTTTTGAATATTATCTATGCTAATATTAGTGTTTTGGTTCTTAATTTGATCATAGGAAGGATTTGGAATAAAAAGAAAAAAAGTATTGAGTTTGAAAAGTTTTTGAATATTTTATTGAATCAAGTTTCAAGTTGGAGAAGAAGTGGTTGATTCCCGCGAGCACACAAAATCCATGCCAAAATCAATGAAGGAAGCAGGAAAGTCCCGAAACGACGTTGTATTCCAACGTGTGCCCGCTGAAACAGGGACTAAAGTATAAAATTTCCAAAGTTTTGGGGTCAATTTGTAATTTTAACAAACTTTAGGGACCAATCTGCAAATTTCAGAAAATTGAATTGCCCTCTGCGGATTTTGAAGAGGCTGAACGAAGGCTGCCCTATTAATACCATATGTACGCTTTGTTTTCATTATTAAGAAAGGGAGGAGAAGAGGCACAACACAGGGAGCGACGGCTGGAGCTCAGGACAAGGATTTCTCTCTGTTTTCGTCAGTTTTAGCTCTGTAATGTCAAACATCAATTCTTGTGTTGTTGATTTCACCATGATTAGTAACTAAACCTCTTTTCTAGTTAAAGAATTTTATTGAAGTCTTGATATTATTTAATTGTGAGATCTAACTGTCTGCTTTTCACCAACGAATTTTGAGTATTTATTTATTCTCTTTGATGTGTATTGATGATTATTTGACATTATTTGAATAGCTGGTAGCATTCAATTCTCCTAGATAATATAATTTATTGAACAACAAGGTTTGTTTGTTCCTTATAAGAGACAATGCAAATAATTACTTGGTAAGTAGTTTACTTTTGTTGTGAGAATAAATAATCAATTTTTAATGAAACAAGGTTGTTTGTTAGAAATTGAATTGGGTCTTTGCTAGTCAAAAACTAAATCCTAAGAGGTTCCAGGTAGTGTTTTTTGGCTATAGAGTGATTAATGAAGTTTTCTTAGTCACTGGTAGTTAAATAAAAAGACTGAATTGTTAGGAGGTTCCAACAACGATAACTAATATATTCATCATTTGTTGAGTTAATCTTTGCATCAATGATCAGTTGGATACATTAAGGTGGAAATTATTCCTTTGACTAGAGTTGCTCTTATTATTGATTTTCCAAAAGTATCTTTTATTGCTTGCAAATTATTTTTGTTATTCATTAGTTACAAATCCAAAATCTCTCCCATTTAGTTACCTTGCTTTTGATTAGAAATATTTTCACTTCCTTGCTCCCTGAGAAGACGACTCTACTCATTGCTATACTACTAAATTTGTTAGGATTAGAATCTTTTATCTTTGTTGGTTTGACATCCACCAAATTTTTGAAGCCCTTGCCGGAGAGCACGGTCTAGAGTGATTTATTTCTTGTTAAAAGTTTGTTTTTATTTTTATTTTTATTTGTATTTGTATTCGATTTTATGGTGCGTTCTGATAATACAGAGAGATTATTGTTTGATCCTGAGATAGAAAAAACAGCTAAACAGAACCGAAAGGAAAATAGGAAAAGAGATTTACTTCTTAGTGCTACACCTGAATCTCAAGAGGACGATAGCCAAGAAGAAGAAGAAAAAGAAGAAGTTACAAGCTCTGAAAAAGGGGAAGAATTTGAAGAAAGTATGGGTGACAGAACTCTGAGGGAGCTTGCGACTCCAGATGTGAACTTACGAACATTCTGCATAACCATGCCTGCAAATACTCCACGTTTTGAGCTAAAACCAGGTACACTTCAATTATTACCTAAATTTCGTGGTTTTGCAGGTGAGGATCCTCATAAGCACTTGATGGAGTTTGATTCTATGTGCTCAACCGTAAGCTATCAAGGAGTCACTGAAGAGCAAATTCAGCTACGTGCTTTTCCATTCTCTTTGGAAGACAAAGCCAAGCACTGGTTATATGGTTTACCAGCTGGTTCAATCACTTCATGGAATCAGTTGAAGAAGAAGTTTTTGGAGAAATTCTTTCCAGCACATCGTGCAGCAAATATTCGGAAAGATGTCTGTGGAATCCGACAACACCATGGAGAAACATTGTACGAATACTGGGAAAGATTCGGAGAGTTATGTAGGAGTTGTCCTCAACATCAAATCCCTGAACAATTACTGCTTCAATATTTCTATGAGGGGCTATCAGAGGTGGATTGAGACAAGTTAGATTCAGCCAGTGGAGGAGCTTTAATG